ACCAGGCTTGTAGCCTGTCCAGGTCTCTTTGTAGTCCTGCCTGATCCTCATCCAATTTGATTCTTCTCATTAACTTCACATCGTCCGCAAACAAGGACACTTCTGAGTCTATCCCTTCCGTTATTTTCATTTACATATACCAAGAACAGCACAGGTCCTAGGAGTGACCCCTGTGGAACCCTGCTTGTCACAGGCGCCCACTCTGACATTTAAACACATACCATGACTCGTTGTTTCCCCTGCCCGGGTTAATTCTCCGATCCTTCATTTCCCTTTTCCCTGTTATGTTGCCTGTCCTCTAGTTTTTGCATAACCCCCTTGTGGGGAAAACTGTGAAAAAAGGCCTTCTTGCAGCCCAAAAAAAAAATGCAGTTGATCCACCCTCCCTCTTTTTGCCCTTATTTCTGTCCCCTTTGCCCCAAAAAAACCCAGTAGGTTTGGGACCAGGTTTTTCCCCTTCCCTAAAAAACCGGGGGTTTTGTAAAATTATACCCTTTTTTTTCCAGGTGCTCCAGCACTCCCTCCTAAATACCCTGATGTTTGTGTGTGTGGGTGTGTGTGTGTACTCACCTGGGTTTGACTACCTATTGGGGGTTTCGGGGGTCGAGTCCGGGCTCCTGGCCCCCCCTTTTCCACTGTTCGCTACTAGGTCACTCTCCCTGACCCGGGAGTTTTATCATACCTCTGCAAAAAAGCTATGTATGGACCCCTGCCCCCCACTACTTCGCTTCCCAAACTTTTCCCTTACTGATACTCTGGGGCCCCTGAAAAAAATACTTCCTAACATCCCTGTGATTAATCTGTGTCTTCAGCTTCCAATGTGCCCCCCTTGTTACTGTGTCCAATCCCCTGGAACATCCTGTCTTTGTCCACCTTGTAAATTTTCCTTTCTCAGTATTTTGTATGTCTTATAAAGCCCCCCTATCTCCCTTTTGTCCTCCAGGGGTCGTCGGGTTGTTTTCCCCTTTAACCCCCTCGTAGGACATCCCCTCTTGGGCTTGGGACTAGTCTTTTTGCAAACCTTTGAAATTTTCCCCTATTTTTCCTTTACGTGCTTGGCAAAGGTGTGGGGTTCCAAACGGGTGGGGCATACCCCAAATATGGGCCAAAAGAATACGGGGGGTACAGGGTCCTGAAGGGTTTCCTTATTAAGATGGGGGAATGCTGTTCGGGGGTTTGGCTGGGCGCCCATATGCTGAAAGCAGTTATTTGGTTGTGTCGCTTCAGGAGATGTGCCTGGTGTTTACTCCCCCCCAAAGGATCTTTTTTTTTGATTGGGGTTTTTTTTGGCTCGACCCCCTAGATTTGTACCCCGTCTGCGGCCTTCTTTTGCCCTTCCCCAATCTTCATGTTTTTTGCATTTGGTGGGTTTTGGAATCCAGGAGCCAATTGCTGGACCAAGGGCTGCAGGGCCCGTCCAATCCCTTTTTTAGTTTTTGGCCCGGGCTTCGATCGAGTGTATTCTTTTTTCAAAATTCACGTCATCTAAACCCGGGACACCCCAGATCTATTCCTTCCGTCCCTGTCGTTTTACAAATACCAGGGGAAAAACACTGGTCCTAGGACTGACCCCCGCGGGACCCCCCCCACCCCCCCCCCCCCCCCCCCCCCCCCCCCCCCCCCCCCCCCACCCCCCCCCTTTTGGGGGACGGTGCCCTTGCACCTCCCACCCACCCCCCCCTCTTTGTTTCCTGCAATTTTCCCCCGAATCCATAGGTTTTTTTCCTTTTTCCCGTTAAAACCCTGTTTGGTTTTCCTTTTAGGTTTTTTACCCAACTCTTTTCCCGGTAAACCCCTTTTTGATTTTTTAAAAAAATGCAATACCCCCCCTTCTTTTGTTTAAAGCTTCCCCTGTCTGTCTCCTTTTTGGTTTTTGGGGCACATTTCGTTCCCCCCATGCCCCAGGAATTTCCCTTTTTTGTTTAATTTTTGAAATTTTTGGTTTTTTTTACAAAATTAGGCCTTTGTTTTTATGGTTTTTTTTTTTTTAATTTTCTTCTCCCTTCCCAAACCCCTGGGGAGGAAATTTTTTTTGGGGAACCCCCCCCCCCCAACCCCCCCCCCCCCCCCCAAAACCCCCCAAACCCCCCCCCCCCCCCGCCCCCCCCTTCCCTTTTAGGTAAACTAGGGTTTACTAAAGCCTCTTCACTTCTTCCCCCGGGGTTTTGTTTCACTGTGTCCCGCACTTGGGGGTTTTGCCCCCCCTTCCGTCTTTCTGGAGTCCCCTTTTGTTCCTCTGTGGGAAAACTTCTTTGAATCTCTTGTTTAGTTTTTTCACAAAATTCACGGTCATTTCCGGGTTTTCCCTCCTCCTTCCTTTCCCTTTGCCCGATTACCTGGGCCTTTACTGTTTTTTTTCCCCTTTATTGGGGTACAGCAGTTTTTTGGGTTTAGATTTGGCTTTCGCTGCTATGTCATTTTTATATTTTCTTTTGGGGGCCCCCCTTTTTATCTGTGCATTTTGTTTCTGGCTCTACGAATGTTTTCCTTATTCCCCCCGGGGCCTTTTTTCCCTTTTATATTTTTTTCCCCTTCCTAGCAACTTGGTTTTTTTGCCCCCCTGCACCTTTGGGGGAAACCCTGGTCCCCCTCCGGCCCTTTTTTTAAATTTTCCTGTTACCTTGGGTACAAACCTCTTTCCCCAGCCTCCTTTCATTTTGTTTTCCACCCTATTCCATTTATCTCATTAATGGCTTCCCTGCCAGTTTTTTCTGTTTCCCCCTGAACCCCGTTCAGGTAGGTTCCCCATTCCTGTGTATTTCCCCCTTTTTTGTAGTTTGGCTTCATTCGTCCCGGCCTTCCTCTTTTTCCCTCCACTTGTAAACTTTACTGTGTATTCGAAAAACTTAAAACCCCATGGGCAATGGCCCCAAGGGGCTTTTATAAAGTGATGTCCTCGATTCTGCAATACTGAAAAGGGAATTCTAAGTTTCCCGCCTTGTGGTTTATCCTCTCCTCCCTTTTCTTGTAGGGCCCTTTCGGGGGGTACATGAAGTTTCCAGTACCGCCTCCACATCTTAGCCCTCCATGTACTTGGCCCCCATGTGGGCCAAGTTCTCCCAATCGATTCTCCTTTGGTTAAAATCACCCATGATCAGGAAACTTTGCCCTGCATGCAGAAACTCTTTTTGGCCACCTAGCCAGTGTGTCAACCATCGCTCATTGCTTCGTCGTACTCTTTCCCTTTGGGCCCCCCTGCTGTTCTGTGGTGGGTTTTTACATCACTGCTTTTTACCCAAATTGGGAACCCACAGAAATGAAGTGTTCCCACTATGTAATCACTTTCTTCTCCGCTATCTCCTCTCTCCAGCTCATCAAAATTCCAGCGATTTTTGATCAGCAACGCCACTCCTCCACCCCCCCTGTTCCCTCTGTCTTTCCTCAGGATTTGGTATCCCGTTGGAAAGATGGCATCTGTTATCATACCTGTAAGCTTGGTTTCTGTGAGAGCTATGATGTCCGGTGATGCTTCTTTGACTCTTTCGTGCCACTCCTCCCACTTATTTGTTATTCCATCAGCGTTTGTGTACCATACCTTCAGTTTCCTTTCCAACACTGTGGTTTGGGGGGCCTGTGAGGGTGGGAGACCTGGTGGCATACTGTGGGATTCTATAGCTCGGTGTTGGGTGGAGGCTGTGGGTATGGATTGTAGTGTGTGTTGGGATGGTGTGATAGGTTGTATGGTTCTGAGAGTAGTTTGTGTGTGTGCTTGCCCTTGCTGTTCTGTCCTGCTCTGACTGACCTCTGCTGATTCCCTCCTTGTCTCTTTTCCTAGCTCCTTTCGTTTTTTTGTCCTCTCCCTCAGCTGCTGTCGTTCTGATTTTGTTCTGTCTCTGTCTAGGAACACCTCTTGTACTCTTCCGAGTATTTCAATCGTGGTTTCTCTTGGAGGATCCTGTTCCGCACTGTTTCCGTCCTGAGAATCAGCTTGATTGGTCGGTTTCTCCCCTTCGAGTACCCCCCTATTCTCTGAAAATTTACAATCTCGTCCATCTCTTCACCTATTTCCGTGATGATTTTCTCAATCTCCTTTCTTTCTTCCTGCTTCCTTTCAGTGTGTGTCCTTTCCTCTCTCTCCTGAAGCCCATGGATAAACACTGATTTTGCCCTTTCTTCCTCCCATTGCCTCACCCTCTGTGACTCTGGATCCTGCCTGTATGTGGTCAGTTTCTCCCTTGATTTTTCCAGTGGCTCTTGATAGCCTTGTTGTGCCTCAGCATTCGACCTATCACCCTCTCCATCTGCAACCAGCTGATCTTCCCTTTCACTCCTTGGTCCTCCTTGGCAGATTGATGTGACCTTAGCATAATTCATATTCCTTCCTTCCTGTTCGCCTCGCAGCTTCATATGCTTGTGTCTTCTCTGGTCACTGCCCCTGTAACTCGCTCAGCCTATTTATCTCAATTCTGGGCTTATCTTGGCTACTGCAGTTTCGATTGTGCCTCCATTCTTTGTTTTTCT